CTCGGTAAATTAATTTCCCTTCTTTGTGTCAATAATAGCAGTTCGGTTAACAAATGTGGCGTGATGTATTTATTTGTTGATGATAATATAACATTTGTCCACAAGTACCGAGGAGTTGCGCTTCCGAATGCACTATTACTCATTCAAGAATACATTCATTCGCTTGAGGCTTGATGCTACAGGTGGATAATGGCGTTTTAAGCACAACAGTCCCCATATATTGGGGTCGCTTGACACCCGGAGTGTCTATTACACATAACAGCGAACGCATCTGATTACAACGGTGTACCCGTGAGCTTGGAATCAGATATCATTGTACCTTCATGTTCTTAGAACAGATTGTGTACCAGATAGCACGAGCCGGACAATCCTACGCTAACATCTCTCATAGCGTGAATACAATCTTAGCTACAGTTGAACTGGTTAAGATTCTTAATCGTCTCATCCTGGAGTATCGCAGCATAAACTGAGGCAATACGAGGAAATTAGACAGAACATCGATAGAAAGTCTTCAACGGTCATTCAGTAAACATGTACTTGGAAAAATTCTGTTTTAAACCCTCGGGAACGATGCGAGCAACTCCATCTCCATCCACTTTGGCTGCGAATTCTTAAGATAACTTGAAAATGATGCACAATTTGATTTACCGCAATATCCATTGCAATAGATTCACCTTACCATTGCAGCTCAATTACGATCTCGACCTAGGTAACAAACACCTTACTCTTATCATTCCACGAGGCAAGACAAATTTGCTGTCTAATTTTCGTCTCGTCATGTATGCTTCGCTGTGTATTCGGTTGCTGTTCACCATCAGGTCGTCTGAGACTGTGTAATCCTTTCGCATTAAAGTTGGGGAGCTACCTATACCCGGACATCAGTATGTCATATTTTTCGTACGGAAGGTCATTTGAACATCCATTCGATGGAAGCCCAGATGATGTCTAATGGGTATAACATCACCAATTTACGCACCATGATTAGTCCGCATTGTCTACAAAATACTCCAACTGCGAATTCGCCTCCTATCATCGCATAAGACAAACCTATGGGGCAAATACATTGCCAGAAATGCAGACAAATATTGAAGATAAGTTGATATCGCTCTTTCAAGAGCAAGACCTCACATGTGCGTGTATGTTTCGTGACAAATATTGTCAGCTATTCAGTTGATGAGAAATATGCCCAGTAATATTTATGATAACTATAATGTTGTTATTATTTTTTGTTGTTGTTTGTATTATCCTTATGTGGTATATTTTTTACTAATGGCAATACTAACCTAGATCCTTAATGTGCCGCTGATATTGTGCATCTTGGTCCGATCACATATTTTGCGCCGCATAGGATTCGGACTTCTCAGACAAGCGCCGTAAATTTCGGCATAGCGACACCGGCTACAGGCCGGGTCAGAATACGAACCCATGGTAACTCTTTCCGACATAAGTTCTGTTAAAGGAGCGCTGAGCAATAAGGTTCAATCACCTCATCCTACGTTGATTAGCTGCAGTCAAGCGTGCTGTTTGTGACCTCGAGCACTGACACTCTCATCCCTGTCTGCCTTCCGTTAACACCAATATGTCAACTTACTCGGGAGCATACCTGTCCCCATAAACGCGTACATCTAGCCCTGTGCTTACATCCAGGGGGTCCCATTGGCTGATGTCCCATGACCAATGGAAGTGTCACTGATAGTGCGTGCATGTAACCCTTCAGGGAGAGATTGAATTGGTTTGCGTGTGAACTTGAATGAACAACAAGTTATTTGGATATCTTTTAACAAGCTAACTTATTAGCACTATGCGTGCAGTTACCATCAAAAGTTATTGCTCATCGCATACTCTTTTTCAGGCTGTAACGTTAGGAATCATTGACCCTCTTCTAACCTGCATCACCGTCTATCTCCTTCAGCTGCATTTGATGGTCAGATTTCGGAGCGCCTTTTCTGACCCCATACAAGTTGCACGTGGTTTGCCTTGTCTCTCGGTGCTACGTCCCTGATTGTTTTTGATAATTACAACTACGTCCTGCTGTTTGCCGATGACGTCAATAGTTGGCGCAACGTTCAGGGGAACGCTGACCAACAACGGCTTCAGTGTGATCTAGATACGGCACATCAGTCAACCATCCAAAATTCACTGCAAACCAATGTGGGTAAATATAAGGTTCTGTTCACACGACACAAGAGCAAACACTGTTACAGGTTCGGAACGCATATGCTGCAGCCAGCTGCCACCGAACGTGATTTGTGCGTACTAGTTCAGGATGATCTACTTTAGTCCAGGCAACCCATAAAAGCCTCTAAAACGGGTACTCAACCTGTGGGCCTGTTACGACGGGCGTTCTCACAAAGTGATCGCTCTATTTTCCGGCAACTTCTTAGTGCGTATGTTCTTCCTCATGTCGAATATGCGATTCCAGTTTGGCACCCATGGTTAAAACAACACTATCCTTATCCATATTTAATACACATTTGGATGACTCACTTACTCGCCTATACTTTGTTACCGAGTACTTCATCTCCATCGCAATCCTGGAATATCTTTTGTATTTTTTTGTTCTAACATGTTTGGGCTGTGAAACCATACGGATCGCAGGACTACAGCGAAATGAGCTTTTCGATAACCGTGCACAACCACCCAATAGGACATGTAAAGCATTGCTTCTTAACCTATATAAATTCATTGTTCATTGTTCGTTGTTGATTGAATCTCAAGGGTAGATAGTTTTTCGGAATTCGAACGCACTGTCCTTACACAGAAACGAAGAACATGTTTCTCAATTTCGTGAAAGGTAAATAGTAGTCATTATATCCGGTGACGCAACCTTCAGCGGTAGGTTCTAGCGTCTGTTACATATTTCTATTTACCAATACCTAAAGCATCCAAGCAATCTCCAAACCTATGATTCAGCATTGTGCCGTAACAGCACAACATCCAAGCCTGATCTGCTTCAGATACAGTCCTACTGAACCATCCATCTTTACTCCACATTAGCTTATGATTTACCGTATATTACCCAATATAAGCCGCTCAATTGATAGGCTGACAGTAGCACTTTGCGCTATCATATTTGTTCAAAGTCTTTAGTTCTTATATAAACCGAGCCCCCGAAAAAACAGCAAAAAGCGAAACGCAATTATTTCTTCTTTAATTAAATTTAGTCTTAAGACGCTGCCTAAAGGAGCGAAGTTCCAAAGCGGCGTGTTTGTGCGGGCTCACGCGAAAAGATGAACAGACGAGAGTGGCACGTTAAACTGGTTTAATACAGTTTGAAAAAAGTGAAGCGGTGCCCATTTAACGAAACCATCTATATTAGTTTAAAATTCATTTAAGGACACCGAACTGAGAATGTGGAAAAAACGATGCCGTGAGCTGAACTTGTCCGTGGCTTTAATTTTCGGTGGACTTATTTCAACCCTGCAGCCACTGGATATCCGTCCTAACAGGCGCATTAATGATAGGCCTCAGACCAGGTGGATTGTATGGATGGCATCATCTGATTTAGCGATGACGAAGGGTGGCAATTTGAAAATCATTGCCATTGTTACAATTGCAAGTAGGTTGAAAGTACCGTGGCTTGACATACCATCAGAAAGTATCGCCCGATCATTCAAAAAACGTTACATCAATAATGCGATGGATGGAAGTAAGAACTATGTCATTTTGGTGGAAATCAGTAACGACAAGAGTAGTGAAGCTGGAGATGACGACATTCACCTTGACGCTTCAATAACAGACAACTAGTTGCAGAAAATGTTTGCAGTTTCTGACTCGGATTCAAATTTTCAAGGATTCGAGTAATTTATCTTATCACTGTTTAGTGCTTGGATCTAGAAGTCTGTAAGATCTACCTGTCAGTACATTTCTGTCACTTTTTCCCGTTGCTGTGCTACTGGTTTTCGATCCCGTATAATTCAATACACTTCTGCTGATGTTCTCCGTCACGAACGACAAATGTGTAATATCCCGGGAATTTTCACTACAGAATTACGTGCCTAGATATGGACACGCAGCCCGCCGTGCCGCGTTTACACTATACAAAAGATGGGTCATTTCAAATCCCCGTCAGAAATACCTTCTTACAATTGCGGAGAGATAGCTGCAGATGTGTGCAATAAATTCCTGGGTGGGTTTTGCAGTTGACTTTTCCGGGTTGTGTATAATCTTTGTATGAGTCGACACTCCACTAAAAAAATGAAACACTATCTAACAGCTGTCGGCTTATATTCGATAATATACGGTAGATCCTGACCACATTTCACCGTCCATTTTCAAAACAGATCTTCCAAGCCAACAAACCTGACGCCCCGGCCGCCGTCACAAAAGGTAACAGTTGACAGTGTATCAAAGATTTTGTGCAGGACACAAGATCCGATTAAGGATTGCTACCCCCTACTTAATTATATCAGCGACCATAAAAAGTGAGTCAAAATAAGGATGGCTTACTTGCTTTTAAGCCCCATCAGCATATGATCAGGTGAGGCAAATGAAATAGCCAGAGGCAATAACCCGTCTGAGAACAGGTTCCCAGGAAAACGTTTCTCGGATGGTTGTATAACTTCACTCTAACTACTGGTTATACCTACACATTTTCTACTCTCTACTTTCTGTCTTTTTGTTAGTTGTATTCGATGAAACATCCATAAAAAGCCATTGGAATCTACTGGCAAATCTCGAAAACCTTACTACCTTATTCGATTAAGTTGCACAGAATGATCAGTTTACATGGTTGGTTTGCTTCTCGCATCGTCGACAATTATACCATTTATTTATCTATGATTGCAGTAGACTTGACAGAACTTCGTAACTCGACGGAGATGTCAAGGTAGTAGAGTCTCGGCTGGTTTTGATGGGTGATAGTGTTATCGATCAGAATCGCGTTGGACGTCGTTGAAGGTGGCACCAATACAACGACCCATCTTCAGTCACTAAGTACGGAGATTTATCAGGATTTAGAAATAGTACTAACAGCTCAAAATAATGCAGGAAACCAATGGTAATTTTCTATTGTCAGTGATGCCAAGATGGTTAAAATCACAGCCGTTTGTGTTAATCACAGGGGAGCAGAGCAGCGCTTCACCGGATTCATTTGAGAACCGACCGCACAGCCAAATGTGGACGCGAATTCAGGTGTCTCCGAGATTATGTGGTTCACACTAAGAAACGTAGAAGAAAAGAGCATACTGTAGATAGTCGAAATAGTTTAGGCATCAGTTGTATGTTAAAAGTGGTGGGGTGAGACTAGGAAAGCTTCGCGGATGGAGCATAAGGCGATTTCAATGTACGGTAGATGACGATTTCAGTCGAAAGTAACTGCTCAAAAGTTTTAAAAGCACAATAGAAAGACAAAATTAGGTGCCTGCATGCACTTCAGGTTATCTTTGCAATATCATTAATAGCAACCGATATGCACTGAGTGCGACGAGACAAGCTTCAGATACAGAGCGAATGAAGGAAGGGACCTAAAACGAATACATACTTACTGATGAGTAGACGGATTTGGCTAAGGTTTTATTTGGTTAATCGCAAACAGATAACACGCCGTATATTTGAGCTACCTAGCCGGAAAAACACCAGACGACCGTTTTGTCTTATTGGGACTGGTCAGTGGTACGCATTCCCTTTGTCCCCGGTGGGGTCCTCACATGACCGTCTTTGGTAGGTACCACTAGTCAGCAGTTTATGCCACTGAGCCATAGGGACGATAGTTACTCACTACTGATTAAAATCTACCCGCAATACAATCAGACTCATCATCCACTGCGATGCAGGTTAGTACTCGTGCAAATTACAGTGGTTTGCCGTTCGGATCAGGAGTTTCCTTGCCAGTGCTGTGAATCCACACAGCATTATGAGGACTGGTGTGAGTTAGTTTTTGAATGCACATGGCCGGCTTCAGATGGCTTACTGCGATGGCTTGGGCAAAGGGAGAAACTAAGGTTTGGAGCCACGCAAAGAAACTTGGAACGATGAGCCAAGAGTTAAACTTTACAGGATATAACATTCACTCTAGTTGCAATAAAGGCACCAGCACTACCCCGGTACGTAGTGCTGACACTTCACTGCCGCGCAGCCACAACCAGTCGCACGTGAGAAAGATACTGCGATGGTCGCCCAATCCACTACGCAGGCTTAAACCCGCGCCCTCGGATTACAAGCTGGGCTTGTGATCTTTAGGGCTACGGACCGGCTCGAGATGCACTCTCATTGGAAGATAGGTCCGCGTAGTGAATCCGTGAATTTAGATTACTAATCGTGGTTCTAATAATGTGAAGAGCATAGAAATATTTGATTCTACCATTGCCTCCAACACACCAATACTTTCACGGCAACCGCAACAAGGATGCAAGCTCGTCTTAATCCTAGCAAGCAAAGCCTACGCATGGCCATGGAAGCAGCCTAACTTGCATGTCCACCGGCACTGTTTCTTAGACGTGATGTGGAGGTAAACTGATATCGGTACTTGAAAAAGTCTGGATGTTACTGGTCAACTGCTTCAGTGCACAGACCGAATGAATCAGACAACTTTGAGGTAGCAGCGTACGGAGGCATATGAAACACTTTCGATGGCGGTTCACAGCAAAAGCACTCGGCCAGACGCACACTATAGACCCTGAGGAAAAGTAGACGGTCGTTCTGCTCAAGAGGGACTTTTCTGTAGCGTACATTCCACGGATCTAGGGCCAACCCTACCTTTGCATATTCAACACACTCATGGCAGTACAGTATGGGCAATGCGACATATCAAAGTTGGTCAATTGGTCCGGACCCTATGTATCTATCTGTGATGGACCAATGGTCGTAATTCATTCCACGAAGATGTACGCATTGACAGCTTCTAGACCGTCGCGGGGCACACTGAATGGGCGCTAATGACCACAGCCAAATTATGCGCTGCGCTGGCATTTATATTCGTTATTGCCATTACCTCGTCATGACTCAATACGCTCACATGGCGCGCATTGGAAGAATGCCTGTGCTTGCTTCTGATTGGCTGCTCCGTTTCCGCCTGTATTGCTTTAAATGTGAAACCGCTGCTACGTGTTCACAGCGTCCAGTGTTCACGGACCCAAACCCCAGGAAGGATGAGGGCAATGTCTAGTATGGTGAAATCGGTCTGTCACGTTAGTACTTTGCTAAACCAAATGCGCATCCTACTCCGCTCGACACACCAACACGTGTGTTGTCAACGTGTCAGTTGTGTCAGGCCAATCCTAATTGAAATGTCTTAGCTAGTAATACGGGCAAATTGTAGAACGAGTTCGCTTGCTGTGTTCCATTTACTTGTTGAGCTGGGTCAGCGAGGTTGGCATGAATCCGAGTAGCCATCCATAAAGAGCGCTTAGATTAGCTTCCGCTACCAGAGTAAATACATTTGTACTGGTGTAGTTCACTGTTGACACCACTTGTGATCCAAACCATATAGAAGATTTTAATTGTGTAAAACAGCTGATGCTGTATGTAACAAGTATGAGTATGGGCATAAAATCCCATCTAGCTAACTAGAATCTCGTCTCATTTACATATCATTCTTTTTTAACTATATATAGATAGTAGCGTGTGACGTAATTAAACATGAGAATCTCAAAGTAATCCAATGCAGTGAACCGCCTTAACTTCATGTTGTGCCGTAATAATGGGCGAACGACAACCGAGCATTTCACAAGAGCTTGTGGTCCTTGAAAAAGCCGAACATACTTCGCATAATTATTTCAGTTATTACAGGTATTTATCCGCTAAGGTATTACAGTTGTATAGGTTGGTATACTTTTATCTAAGGCTTCCTGTGCTCGCGTTACGGCTTCCGGTAAGAAAACAAATTTCAAATAACAAACCGAACCTTCTATTCCGATGCAAAGTGAAGAAAGAAAAACGAACTGTGTAACACGAGCGACGCATGATCAAACAAAATCGTCACACACAAGCCGTAAATACTGTTGTTTGAGTATCGTTTTCTAGTGATATCGCAATAGCGTTGTCTAAAACATTTCTAGGGGGTTGGTTTGTAAAGGGGGAAATTGAAGGCCGAATATTGATTCTCAGACCACTGTGAAAAGATCCGGTTGCTTACGGCTGCAAGTACAATGCTAACTAAAGCCAACGAAGTTGGGGTCACTCGTTCTCAACTCACACTCAACAAAGGAGTACACTGTCATAAGTTCAAGGCCAGAAAAACTGTAATAGAAGTGGCCGAAAACAGACCTGGCCCAATCAACACTTGGACTGAGTGGCTCATGTTTCAATAAATTGACTGTGTAGCCAAAGATTACTAAGAAATTACCTAGCGAAAGCACAAATACATTTAACTGGTCAAATCAACAGCGGAACAACTATCCTCGAAGGGCAACCACTGGCCTCAGTTCAGTGGTTTCGCCTCTTGTATAACCTGGGTAAACTATACTTCCGATACACTGATGATTTCTTGTTTAAGTCCAAACTGAAATAAGCATGATATACCTATTGCTGTGAGCATGATCATGGCTAATGTCTAAAAGGATTTAATCATCTCACGGGCAAACTTTTGTGGCTTTACCGACGTGGATAAACTCCTGCACTACAAATGAATGTCAGTGGGGAATTCAAGACAAATTCCGTCACATTGCGGCTCCGCATCGATCGGTGAACTATCAGAAGTGCTGCGAAACATCCCCAGTGCCTCATGATGGCTTCCATTCAGTTTGTGAGAAAATCATATTCTATAAAATGGTGCGTACATACAGTCTTTAGCATGTGCTATCGTTGCGATAGATGAACTCAACGTGGAATATTTCGGAGTTTCATCAAAATGTAGATTAAACAAGTAGAAAAACAGTTGCCTTGTAAATTTTCCATTTACGAAGGATCGCGTTGGATGTTAAACTGGGAAATTTTGCGCCCAGGCCAAAACACCATGTAAATTCAACTCAGCTTGACATATTCAATGTATTGTGTCAGTATATGAATATATATATATATATATATATTCGTGAGCGGTATGGGGGTTGACTGGGTTTTGGTGAAGATGCATCGCAGCCAGCTATCATGCATCCAGCAAAGCGCTAGACGGACGTTTCGTCCTATTGGGACTCGTCAGTAGCGCGCACCTGCGGAATCCTGCCGGATTGGGACCAACAACGAACCTTCACAAAAACCTTACTATTTTGTATTAACCAGTGATCACCTTAGGAGCTAACATGCCAACTCGATTTGTTGCGACTTGCAAAGGAAGCCGTTGCTCTGGGGCCGAACCCTGTCCGCTGCACGTCCATAACTTGCATGACAGTGGAGGATGAGCCGCGCCATACCGCAGTTAGATATGAGTCACGGCCGTCCGCTGCCGTCACCCATGGCTCAGTGGCATAAGTCACTGGCTCGTAAGAGTATGGTCCTGGGTCCGAATCCGGCAGCATTCGACAGGTGCGCGCTACTGACGAGTCCCAGTAAGATGAAACGGCCGTCTAGCTTGGATGTCTGGTAGCTGTCTGCCTGAGTCTAACTGCGACGAATCTTCACAAAGATATACAAAAATTCCGTATTGTAGACGGTTGGTCATAAGAATGAGATGAGGCCTTATTGTAATCTCTAGTCTACTGCTACTTCGACTGAACTAAATGAACATCAGCCTCATGTATTGCAGAACCAATTAAATAATAAGGATAAACGGCCCTTAATTCCGCCGTCGCACACACTGACGCTGCTATATGTTGACAGCGTAGTCAACTGGAAAGTGACAGATCAAACGCTGTAGCGCAGCTTACAGCTCTAAGCACACTCCGATGTTGCTTCTCATATCCTCCTAGACACCAAACGAAATCACAAGCAGTGCGGGTGAATGTGCTCACTTGATTTGCAGTTTCGAGCATAATAATAGATGCGTGATCCAAGTGTGAACGACGGTCCTGCTTGGAGCGGTGTTAAGGCATTAGTGGATTCAGGAAGGAATACCGCTCCTCCAAGGGATTACTGCGGATCGGTTTACCTAGTAGAATCAACGCAATAATGGTTGTCCTTTCTTGATTCTTAGGGATGCAATGATCCCAATAATGACTAGCCATGGAGTTGAACGAAAACCGCTGAGTGCTTTCATCAAAAGCTTTTTAAAACACCATGGGAACATGAAAATCTTCAGTTTTCTAAGGCATGTAAGCTGACTCCAGCAATAGCTAGTTCGTTTTAACGGGGAACCCATGAGGTCCAAGAAACTGTTTTGAACCATTTTGTTTTACTAATGGTTTTGTTGGCTAACCCGGCAGCGCGAAAGATCTCATCGCGCGGAAGCGATACAACGCAACTCTAATGCCACCGTACATAACTCATCACATTTAACTCAAACGGGTTGTGATTGATAAGCAAAACGTTGTACGGGCGGACTCACATCACCTCTTGTGGAACCGACTGGTCGCCCCAGAATAGTCGATGAAATTGGTCCACTTCGCTCAGCTTTTCACAAAATGTCTATCATAAATGAAGAAACAAAATCCGTAAACCGTCTTCTATCCATCAAAATTTCTGAATCAACCGCATTTATAACCGGTGAAGTACGAACTGCGACATATACTAATTATAGTACTTGAATGGCGAAGGGCGTTATGTTGTTAAACAACTAACGTCATTTCGAAAGTAGGCAGAGACTAAATCGTTCTTAGTTTGATCAACCTTGGTGTAGCCGTGTTGGTTTCCAAATTCATCATTTAACCGAGGCTCTTAGCAAATAAACCTTTTCTCTATTCCGACTGGGCAAGTACAGGGTGTTTCTGCTTTCTAATCATGTGATTACAAACATTTAAATAGATGGCTTCAGATGTTTCTCAGTTAGCCACATTTTGAACGATTATTTTATAAATAGACATACGTAGCACAGTAGTTATTTCAAAAGCGTGGTCATCTAATAGCATATTGCAGCCTCTTTTGTTTGTCTATACATTGTGGCTCCTATCATGTAACCAGAAGTAGTAGATTAATGCTGATATTTATTCCACGGTCACATACTATTAGATTTTTTCTATTCTCAAACGCCTGTATTTCGTCCATTAAGCCAGTAAGGTAAGTTCTCATCGCTCACGTCACTAGTCGATCAGTCACCTCGCAACTTGACCTATTACGTGAAATCAGTGGGTGGTTTTTGGTATCATAAGACCACTTACCACAACGGGGTTCAGTCAGAGAGGCTGTGCACGTCAGCACGCACTACTGCCTCTAGAAGGGATCGTTAGATGCGGGCACACGAAGTTCGAGATGATGCACACTGCTGATGACTCTCTGTGATAGGAAAGGAGCTTCTGCCGCTCGACCAGTGTGTATTGGCACCTAACTATTTCTATCATTTCAGCGGGGTTTCTTACGATAGTTTAACTCGGAAAATAACCGCTTTTGGACCCCCGAAAGTTGTGATTGAACCGCTTTTATCTCCAGCCAACGTTCAGTAAACTGAGTATCTAGACTAACAATAAAGGTAGCGGATTTACCTCAAATACTACTGCGTACGAAATTCCATTGCAGTAGTCGAACTGCCTCAGAAAATGTCCCAACTAATGATGAGTAGCGCTCAAGAAGGACAACCACCTGTCACTGGCTTATGCATGGCGTCATTTGAAATACACGGTTCGATTGCAGTTGAAACGGGGAACACAGATTGATTCATTGGGGAAAAGGTGTACTTAGTGCAGATTTTCGAAGTAAGCATACATCTTGAGTCGGTTACGTGTGACATAAATTCGGTGCAATTCGATTCTAAAAGCGAGAGTGTCGTAAAACATGTTGTTTCAACTACTGGTTGACCGCACATTCATCTAGACATGTGGCTGAACTAACGTTAGCTCTACTGAAGTCAGTGGTACGATGCCAGTCGCTACATTGTCAAGGCACTGCACGCTCTTCAATATAAAAAGGAAAGGACGTGGATGGGTTGATTAACTTCTCTTCCACTTTCCCACTATCGAGATGAGAGCAACGAAGACCAAACTCAAGTGGAAAACACGAAATAAGCGGTGCAGGAGGTCGTTATGAAATTGCGTGTGCCAAATTAAAAATAGACTCTCCAAAGCAATGGTTAATCACAATTAGTTGTGGGATGAGATCCTACTTATCTATTCTACGTGTAATGCCACAACTTGCCTGTGCGAAGCTCACGTAGAAAAGCTTGTCTCTGGGTATGTGTTCACCGGGTAACGTGGTGTTTTCCACAGCGTGCTCCACTTCAGTGGTCCACCGATCAAAAGCCTGTGGTGATAAAAGTTTCGGGAAACCGTTGAAACACAGAACGAAAGTTACTGAAGTCAAGTGTTATGCGCTTTCTTTTAATTTGGCAGCATGGGCCCCTTGGCTGTCCATAACTACGTACAATTATTCAGGATCGCAAACTAAATTAGCAACTGCACGTAGTTCAAGGTGCGCTTACATGGAAGATATAATTACGAGCAGATATAGTAGTACAAACGTCGGAACACAATTTAAACTCTATTCGTCTCCCTCAGCTCCCAACCAGACGGTCATCCATACAGTCGGAGAAGCACAAACTGCCTGTTTTGTCCTATTTGGACTTGACAGCAGTGTCAATTGGCCCACCTAATATATCTACATTTTACGGCTCAAAAGTCGGTGGTTGAATAGACTGCATGGAGCGGAATGCAGCCGTAGACCGGTCGTTCAAATATGAAAGAAAACGCACAGTGATTCAAAGTTCTTTTATGCCAATGAAGCCAACATGCGACGCGTAACCTCGAGCCAATGACTGAAAGTTCAGGTGAATACAATGCAAAAAGTCGCATGCTGTTAAACATCCTCGCGAAGCTGGATTTTACTGCAATCATAGTGCTATTCAGATTTCGTATTTCGATGCCAAGGCTAAATTTACATCGAAAGACGTACAACTTTTTACACTAGTGGGGTTTTGATTTGTGCGCAAGCAGGATAAACAATTAACAAAAGGATGACAAAGTACTCAGGGAAATCGTTGCTTGCAGTCAGAGGAACCGACACAAATATATATATATATATATATATATGTATATATATGTAAGATTAAATTATCCGCTTCATAGTATAGGTCGAAGGAAGCTATAACACCATGGTTTTTGGAAAGTGGATGCTCTAGCGAAGCTTAGATATTCACAGCAGTGCAAAACAGTTTCTCTGTACCAAGGTGGATAATGCTTCATCAACCTAACTTCGAGAAGTAGTTTTCTGGGAGCGCGTAGACAATGGCTGCTCGGGTGTAGTTACTACGGTTGTTTTGAAGCGGCAATCTTTCATAACTATTCTGTGGTAGCCGTTTACGGAAGTTAAATTGCGTTGACGTGAGATTATTGCGTTTTTTTCCGAAATATGAAGTTTTAATGTTCCTCCGACCCAAGTACATGTACCTCATTTAGTGATCTAGGGGGTAATAATTTGTTACTAAATGAAACTTGGCTACTATTCTTGCTCCACCTCGTGTTGCTTCATTAATCCGTGCTATACGTAAGGCACAGTGTTGTTCATTTTTTGGTTCAAGCAGAAGGACGATTGCATTGGGATCGTTTAACATTCTGTTTAGGCGAAGATTTTATTACCTGATCTCGGAGTGAAACGCATATTAGATTAAGCTAGGTGTAGGATTGATCTACTGTCTTGAGAGAAAGCACTTGATTAAACATTTCTTTGGCAACATTTTGAACAAATTTAGTGTTTCGTCATTGCTTAGTACGAATAAAAAAATGCAGTAAAAACAAGGTTAATCCAGCTATGCATTCCTCAACAACCCAGTGTTTTATGAGACAAAAATAAGGGACGAACCGATGTGCCATATCGCTCTATCATTTAAAGGCCGACAAATTCAACAAACCGTTGTTTTCTTTCCATTAAACACTTTCAATTGACAGTGAGGTAAATATCGGTCCGGTTTGAATCCGTTAGCAAAATAAATTCATGCGTAAACAGGAAACAGAGCATGTAATCCAATAGAAACGAGGCCAATATTAAATAAAATGACAAACCTTTGCATAGGTAGTGACGAAACTAGAGTTAATAATACGTTCTTCTAATTTTTAAGCTGATTCTTAACATCGTTCTTACAGGTACTTTACTGCCTAGAAATTATACCGCATTCGCTTGATCTTCGTTTCACTGCCCGTTTTCATAGTTAACTTGTAGCTCACCGTTTACGTCTCCCCGTTGTTAACCTTACACCTTCATAAGTCCATTTATTTCTTGTTGTTTATCCTAGGACTCATCCCACAACTGGCGAGCTGTTTGGAACACGCGATTCAGCCTCCAGAGTGCTTTCGTTGATAGCTGACATAATTGGGTGTGCTTAACGCTACCGAATATTGCAAGTGCTTCTAAATTCGCAAACCATGTTGCTGGCCATTTGAGTACATCTAGTAAACTAAACATTAGTGAACCTATGAAAGTCGTATTGAAGCGTAAACTGTAGGATACTATTATTCATTACTGGCTTTAGAATATTATGATGCAAAGTGAACCGCATCACAGATAACAACGTACACGTTTAGCGATTGCCAGACCGGTGGAATCGTCAATGACCTCCAAGGCGTCCTCTTCGATGTCGTCCACTAGGTATCGCATTAGCTAATGGAACAACAAACATCAAAGATATGATGAAAAATTACAGGGGGAAGCAAATTCCTGTTATTTTATGAATTCTGAGTAGCGGCTGGTTACTTAACTAGACACAATATGTCGGCACAAACCATATATATGGCTGCATGAAATACGAATAAAGGGTGAATCAAACTGTGAATAGTAGATCTTCTTAACCCAATTTGTACCCCAAGAATAGGAAGTCGAAGAAAGGTTACTCGTAAGAAACTGTCAATCAGCGCCTTGAGGTTAATTAAAGCTCACATGGTATCACCGAGGTGTGTCAAAAAATGAACCTGCAACAAATGTCGACGCAGAACTCGACAGACTTTCGTTGTTTTGTTTCATGAACTACGGAAAGAAGACGAAAACTGTCAGGTGCATGCATTTTGCATTGTCTCCTCCGTATTACTAGCAATAACCAAAATGTATTGATATAGCTCACAGTGGGTGCGACCCGATTGCGTAACAATTAATTTTGGCTCCCGAGGCAAATTTCAGTCCCCCAGCAGTTGTAAATCCGTAAACACTCAAAACTACGAAGAGCCCATCTATATATTTTGTTTCATTTAACAACAAGCAATGTTCTCAATTAAAATAATTCGCAGTGCTTTCAAATTCCTCCATAAGAAAATCATGTTGCTCTATACCTTTTTCAAGATGGCCCATAACGCTTTCAACTTGAATCCAGCGGGCACGCACGCCCATAAATGCTACCGCACGTTGCGTGGCCGAACCCAAATCAGATAACATCCTCCAACTCTGTGTGCTCATCTATCATAATGTAGCGAGAACGACACGACAGGGGTCTAGACGTTTATTGCACACCGAAAATGAGCACATGAGGGTCTCACGCGCGCCATCGAATATCGACTAGGTTTCCGTCCCACAACGCAACACAGGTATGGAGGTTAGAGAAGAGCCAGTCCTTTCGCCTCGGGAGCTCTGACTTGGAAGTCCCGCCTTCCTGTTTTCACCTCGATCTCCACTTCTCTGTACCCGATTTGGATCGGCCAGAAGTCGTTCGAGAGCTCTCGACTTGCTTGTTCTGGGCTGTGTCAATCGGCTCGGCCTCGGTCCTGTGGGCTACGCTAGCGGCGTATCTGTCTGATTTATTGCGCTGTCCACATATTCCCGCTCCGTAGTTCCGGGCCCAGGCTCGTCGCTAGCCGTCCTTCTCGATCCGCTCTCAGCTAGCTCCGAAGAGCTCCTCCGAGGCATTCTTGGAAGCGGCCCCTCTACAATAATATCTGCTTATTTTGAATTGGTCACTCAGCAAACAACAAGTACCTTTGATTTACTCATGAGTAGGGAATTGTGCGGAAATTAGATGTATGTTCTCCGCAGCAGCTTCCAAATCAGCTAGTCCCTCTAATGTATGGAAAGGCATTAGACTGCAGTTTCAGCCTGTTTGGCATCATCTGCAGTGCGCATCCATCGGATTCTTCAAGGTTCGAACCGATGACCGCCAGAGGCTTGCACCGCCAGGCAGCAGCTTATCCCACTGGGCCACATGGGGACAACGTCGAACTGTCACGGTGTACGAGCCAACTGTGATATAGCGCGTCGTGTCCTCCCTTGCCATGCAAGTTACGATCATTACAGCGGGCAGGATTGGTCATGGGTTCGAACCCTACATGATCCGATGGATGCGCACTACTGATGATACGCAACAGGCCAAAACTGCAGTCTGGTGCATTTCCGCGCATGTAATCGACTTTCTGATTTGGAAGCTAGCTGCAACGAACTGCAAGTTAAGTATTTTTAGAAGTGCTTGCGCCCGTTGGATGCAAGTTGAAGGCGTTAAGGACCATATTGAGAGATCAGTGAAGCAACATGCTTTCTTTAAAGAGAAATCTGCAGGCGTTATAGATTGAATTGGTTGAGAATAGGTATAATATTAGAGTGTTGCTGTCAATGCAGTCATTTGTACTGTTATACTACAAGTGCATTAAATTTACAAACAAACTTTTTGTGCTGTGCTTACGTAAAAGTCAGGATAACATTATCAGAATTCAGTCCACTGGAAATTTCTCCTCTCTATGGAAAGAACAGCGAAGTCCATGGGTCTTGCCTGGTTTATGACTGATCGAATGTAGATCGATTTATGCTTGTTTTGAGAAACAGCACTGAGAGATTGCACTGTTGATAGCTCGGATAGGAAAAGCGCGCAGCAAGAAGGAAATGTTTGCTGGGGACTGCCTAAGGTGCTATTAATGTATGCAGCACAAATTTCCCTTGATTTTTTCGTTTCACGAAGCTTCCACTAAATGCTGAAAGGTTCTTCTTTCTGCAATGAATTCATAATCTCTATATCTTCCCAAACCTCACTAAAACGGATAAACATATCTCTCACCAATCAGATTTGGTGGCCTAACAAAAGTATACTTGTTTGCATGGTCATGAAGTTGCTGAAATCTAAGATATATTTCACTAGTCTACCTATGCATGACGGAAAGTATTTCCAATTTCATACCAGCGACAGCTCCCAGCAATGTGTCAAACAATCCATCATCTGCCATTCGTTTCTTCTGGCGAATTAAACGTTCATGCTTAGTCCCAATTCAGAGCAGCTTTTGAATACATCCATTACGCCTTCCAGCATCTGCTCTCTATTCAGTAATAGGCAAACGCTTAACATTGTGAAGTTGACGGAACTCTGCCGTAGATCCCGAACTTTTGTTTGAAGATATTCCTGCGCATTACTGATTCGTATGCGAGCAGATCTCCAAAGGCTCAACAACAGAATGAAAAGAAACGACAACACCGTGGTGAGAACTGAAGACACATCTGATCCTAAGGTTGCATATACTCCCAATTCGGCGATATGTTGCAGAACAGTGATGACTTCCGAGTATTACTTCTCCACAACACTTACAGCGTCTACTCAACTACGCCATCTATTTCCCACAGTTCGTTTGGTACTTACACCGATCAATCGAATCAAAGCGTTCCATTAATGTGCAGAGGTAGCAAGGAACAAGAGAAACGGCACCATTGTACCAAAAACATAAGAGAGGGAACCGTCACAGAAGCTGTATGTATTCAAGCCAGATACAGGGAATGCTTTGTTTATGACCCAAATGCAGTTTTTGAGTTGATTTGGCAGTTGAGACTTTAAACACCCTATAGGTACCCTCCATAACACCAGCGTTGTGAAAAGTCTGACTACAGCAGCCATCGATCTGAATACCATCGGTCCCCAGTTCTCTCAAAAGTAATCCAGAACTAAACTGCGCACTTTTGCTGTTGGTCTAATGACGCTGAGAAACGGGTCCCCAATGATCCCTACATTCTCATCCGTATTTATGTGGAGCATCACCTCGATCATCTGATTTTGGTGAGATATCTCAGGAGCTCTATAGATAACTAATCAGAAGTACTTCCCTTCCTTAATCGCGTCTATGGTTTTTTCTATCTGCATTGTCAAAATGCTCACAAATTCATATTGAATTCCTGGAGACAAATAAGTGTTGGATTTTCCCGGGTAAACTGTTGTCTAACGTTCATGAAGAACAGTGCCATATTGGTTAACAAATGCAAAAATTTTGTATAATTCCCCCTATTTTCTTGGTTTCCCTTATCATCTTGGCTGTCTTCTCGGTGACCACGCGTCAGTTAACTTAAGAGCACTGGTTACCTGTTAACCTGGAAACGTTGCTTACTCTAACTCCGTCATCTTCTTTGGGTCAGTTTTATTCCATCGATATTCCAAGTCGATTGGGTACAGCTTCACATTGGAATGATCAACTACTGACTTGGTGCAATGTGGTGTCTGTGCTGCACCCATATAAGAAGCAAGATTCATAGCAAACCTTTCTTTTATTGAGCTTAGTTGGCTAGCGTGTTGCCCACTACACGTTTATACTCTTCCTGACCTATGTAACTTCCTGCTTTATTAAGTTGATTCTTGCACGGTAACATGCAAAGACGGTGGGCAATAACATCTTCCTCCACATTATTCGTCCATGATTCACATCCCCGGGGAAACTCCATGGTATTGCTCACCAGATTAAGCGAGGCCGCCACCATCGCTTTCTCTGATTAGATTCTGCTCTTTGAAATGGGTTTGTACATCACATAACCCTATCTCGAGCAGCTGTTTAATATTAGCAAGACGCTTAGTCAGACGTTGCAGTGTGGTATTGAGATTCAGTGCATCCATGACTACATTCATATTAAGTGTGTGTGCATGTGTGTCAGCTGAAGCCATTTCGAGAAGTCTTCCGATAGAATTGGGTTGTTATTACGAATCTGTATTACACCCAAATATTACTGAGTACGCTTTCAGCTTAGTCGTTTTTGAGTCCGGTGGAGACGCATGAATAAAAGCCCCCAAAAGCTTACCCGCTTACAGTATCTGTAAAACCAACGCTACCAAGCTTTGATATAAAGTTTGAAATTTAGAGTATAAGGTCTGACAATTTTTCTTCCCATGCCCACCTTGAACTAGGCAACCCGCGAAAAATCGCCCTGGAAAACCCGTGGAACGCGAACAGTCCCAGCAAGTATTTGACTTGTGATTAGCATGATGACATTGTTCATGATGACATTATTCATGCTCCGTTCCACCTGTTAATCATGAGAGTGGGCATAGTTATATTTCCCGTTGTTCATCCACAATACTGAACTCAGCTGAGCTTATGAAATGGCAGCTACTATGAGGATTAGTGGCAGAAAAGCAGAGGCGTCCGGGGGTTCGTTCCCGTTGAGCCAGATTATTGTGCAAAGTTTAATCGTGGCTTCTACTTTCTACAAGAATTAGAAACTTTCAAACTTCCATGTAGACTTAGAAGGAGGTAAGGACAACTGCGATGGTTCGTTAGTGCCTTCGTTCACTTCATCCAAAGAAATCAGAGCACAGCGACAACCGTTTAGGAATGCTGAATGCCTGCACCAGACACACGACAATAGATCGTTATCAAGTAGCTTTTCGCCACAGCAACCTACACAGCTAAATCTGTCATCGGTTGAGTATTTGAATGACA